TCTCTCTCTCTCTCTGTCTCTCTCTCTCTCTCTGTCTCTCTCTCTCTCTCTGTCTCTCTCTCTCTCTCTGTCTCTCTCTCTCTCTCCCTCTCTCTCCGGAACCGCGATATCGGATAGGAAGAAAAGAGGACAACATACCTCCAAGCATAAGAGCCCTGGCTTTGGCAGCAAATAGATACCTCCTTGGAATCAGCGTAGGCCTTGGTGCTGTCCTTGTTCTCGGCAATGCGAACAAATCCAGATCAGTACACCGAAACGGGCACAGAACACGGCAATCTCGACACACTTGACTCGCTGTTCGAGCGTCGACCATCCCACACCCGGCCCTCAGGGTTGACTTTTCGCCACGGTGCACAACGGCGACATTCCCATACCCTCCTCGGTCTTTTCGCAGCCGCTGTATTCCCCATCGCCGTCATTTTCTCCCTCTCTCTTGGATCCCGATCTCTTCCTGGCCAGCGTTCGAAAAACCTTAGCCTGACCTCATCCAACTGTATACAGCACTGCGAGGCGCAGATATTCTGGGATCGGACCGCGGTAATTGATCGTATGTCTCAGCGTCCTCGGTGTCGAATGGGGGTTATATATGTGCCCCCGGCCCACTCGAGGACCTGGAGATCCATACCCTGGGTCCTGGGGTTGCGGAAAACAAGGATTGTTTCACGCCAGTGCTTCACTAGCGTTTCAGGATGCGATCTGAGGCGGGTTGCGGGGCGTTGTTATGGCAGCCGGCGAGGCCAATCAGCCACAGGTACCATTCTTTGTGTTCAACTCGTGTCGCAATTTGCTGGAGTGCTTCAATACCACCGGGTCCGCATGTCTCCATCACACTCTCTTTCTTTCTTTCCCTCTTGTCCCGTTTGTGCTTGTTCATATCTCTCCCAAAAGCTTGCAGGACCCTGGACTCATTGAGACGATCTACAGAGTGCCACTGCAGACGATGAGGAGAGTATACATTCTCACCATGATGGATCATCTGTCCACTCATACCTTCTCGTCCCCTGGAACCGGAGTAACTCAACATCGTTGACGCGTCTCTCAATCCAGGAAACATCGGACACGGTGCTCTTCAGGCGCCAGATGGTGAGCTCCACGGGGCACGGTGATCCCAGCGCTTGTGGTGATGACTGGTCAGTAGTAGATGCTGGATATTCTGGACGATTCTGAGTTACCACCGTCGGCTGGAAGCCAATACCGCACCAACATTCGAAAGCATTCGCCATCCTACTCCGATGCTTCTGCGGGAGAAAGGCGTGCGCACCGTGGATAACGACAGAGGTGGAAAAACACCGACAGACAACAATCTCGACTGGGGCGTCTTCGTCCAAAGCGGCGCCGATGACGAAACTCAGTCGACACCGACGCCAACGCCAACAAGAAGCACAACAGAAGTGCGGCAAGCTGGGCGGCCTGTGCTGTGAAGTAGATGTTGCTGACGCAGCAGACGCCGCCGCTGCGGACACTCTCAAGGTTAATCTCAAGCAAGGCGTGCATCCTCAGTAGCAGCTTTGTCAAGAATTCGTCCGTTGGCTTCGACTTCGTCTCTCTCCAGAATAGGACCAAATACAGTCGGGAGCAGGAAAACAATTGAGGGGCACACCAGCCCTGGGTAAAATCCGACAGGGTTCACGGTTGAGGTGTCGTCCAACCAGAGTTGCTCTCCGAACCTTTTACATCGACAAGCTCGACCTGTCAAGAAGTGTAAGCGCAAGACAACCATACATACCCATGCATACCGTTTTCAATGTCATGATGAACAGGTTTGAGGCGAGGAGAAGTTCGCGCTCCTAGAGATGCGACGGGGACACCCACGCACGGCCTTTGGAAACGTCCACAGACACCGATTTGTACTGGTTTGGCACTGTCCAACAGTGTCGTCGAGCGAGCAACGGCTGGTCCGCGAAGGATTGACAACGAGCACAGTGCGAGCGACGAACCTTGACAGCCTTCTTCTCAGCAGGCTTGGCTTCCTTCTTTACCAGCTTCACCGGACCCCGAGGGACCTAACCACGGTAACTCAGTATGAAATCATCAGGACCATGTCAAGACGAGACTGTACCCCTTGGGCTGTTGGGAATCACCCTTCTCGACACCCAAGTCTTCAATGCCTCGTTGAAGAGAGAATCGAACTGCGTTTCGGAGGTGACAGTGATGTTGTTGTTTACCTTGACGTACTTCTCGATGGCTTGTCGGCTGGAGTCAGAGTCAGCAGCTGGTCTAGGGGTCCGGAGGGTCCCGGCGACGACAAGGTATAGACGAGACACTCACCTGCTTCCACTGCGTTCTTTGAGCTGCATGTCCAAACGCGTCAGCATCAAAGCCACATGGATTTCTTCTTCACGCCTGCCACTTCCTTGTGGGCAGCACTGTACACATGCCCGAGGCTGGTGTGATGTGGAAGATACGCATGCGAGCTCCCAGCAGCGGGAGCGCCCGGGTGGTCCGTCCGTCCGTACCCTGGCTGTTGCGGGAGAAAGAGGATGGTTGTTGGCACAATTCAAACGCGATAGCAGAGTGTAAAGACTCCTGCTTGACAATTGCACCGTCCAGGCTGACAGCAGGGTGTCCTGCGGTGCCTCAAACAGTCGGACTACCCGCCGGCTCCATTGTGGGCCACAACAAGGCACCTGTCTGCAGCAGCCGTGATGGTACCTGGACCGCATAGCCTACATCAAGAATCGCGTGCGTGATTGGGGCGGAGATAGTGAGGAAGAAATGCTGCTCGAGTCTTGGGCCCGTTTCGTTGCGCGTGATCCTCGACCACCACCGATACTGTGATGGCCGTGGGAGCAGATGGCTTGCTCTCTGGACAGTTGCAAGTCAATTGCATTGTGCTAAAGTGTCTGCTGGGCCAACAGCACCATCCGAGTTGACTGTATGGTGCATCACTCACTCCACGGCCGCTTTGAAACCTGGCTAGGTCAGGCCGGATATCCGAGTTGTGGTTGCTTTGATACAAACCAGACAGAACCATCGAAAGACTCGAAATCCGTCTCACAAATTGTCTCTATGGCGCCGACAAACCTTTAGAGAGGTCTCGCAGCAAGTTGATGCCCTGCTAAAACAGTCAGGATTTCGGAACTGGTAATCTGCCACACACCAGGATCAATTTCGTTTGAATCCAGGATCCAACTAGTGCATCGACAATGGAGAAGGGGATGCGAAAGAGAAAGCCAAATGGGGGTCCATGTATCATTCAAGGTTCGACCAGAAAAACGACGTCTGCCTGGCTCATCAGGACTTAGCCATCCAAGATTTGTCACCGGGTTGGTTTTGAAATTGGCATGTATCCGTTCTGCGGGACTGTGTCTTTGGAGAGAGAGAGTCGTAGTTTCAAACATTCCGTCACATTCGGCCGTGGTAAGGGAGATGGGAGTGTGTCTGCCCAAAGTATCATTGATATGTGTCCAAGCTCTTGTGTCCCGAGAGACCCGGGAGATTGTCTGCCATGGCAGTGTTCAGCAGCTGTGGACGCACAATAGGGCTCTGTATTGTGTCTCGGCTAGGTTCGTCGTTCTGGTGCCTTTGGACCTGACCTCGAGCTTGACAGTGGTGGTGTGATAGAAGTTCTTGTCGAGGTGCTGTTCATTTGGTCGGGCAAAGGATGTCATCGCTGGTTGGAGAGGAGAGGAGAGGCTCACAGTCGGGCTCGGGGAGAGGGAGGAGAGGATGGGACTGGTTCGTATCTGCGAGTTCGTTTTGTGCCTGGTTGAAGATGCAAGCAGGACCGACTTGCGTGGACTGCGAGGAGTAGGAGCTTATTCGAGATGTATTCCACCCTGGGAACCTCGAGGAGCTGACAACCGGGTTCGTCGGACTAGGAGATTGTTGGCTTTTGACGAGGAGTTCCTGGGCGTTGAAGAAGACGGCTAGATGACTTTACCCCCTCACCCTCTCCAGAGTCAGACCTTTGACCCAAACAGCGCAGTGGTAAAGGCATCCACGGCACCCGCTCTCGACGCTCTCATGACATTATCATCGTGCACAAACCGGAGCAGAGGAAAGTCGGATATCTCTGCTGTCCCCGGCCACGGAAACGTCAGGTCAGTGGGCGTGAATACCATCGATCATCACGCCAGGGGAAACCGTAGATGGCGTGAGATGAGACTTCTGTCCTCTAGACAATCGACCTGATATCCCGTCAGCAAGATGATGCAGAAGACCTGGTACTCGTGATGCTTGACGACATTTGCTGGACTGAGACGACCATGCGCCACACACACTCGCACCCGGTCCGGTGCCTTGCTCCTCTCTTCATTATCCTCTCTATCCACCTCCTCCCCATCCTCGTCCTTAAGAGAGAGTACCATAATGTAGATCATCTGGACGAGCAGATCAGTGAGTGAGTGAGTGGCAGTCTGGGTTCTATACGAGGATCCAGGTACGACAGGGGGTGGGGCTGTCCACTGGTGCTGCGTGTGGGGCTGTGACGTCATCAGAGACGTCATCTGGTCCCCACTTGGCTTTCCACAGTGAGTGGCCACGTTAATCTGAAACCCCCTGGCGCCGGGGATCCATCCCTTCCCATCCCATTTCCTTTCCTCTCCTTTTCCCCCCTTTTTCTCTCCCTTTTTAGCCTTTTCTCTCCTTTTTTTATATCCTTTTCTCTCCTTTTTATCCCTTTTTCTCTTGTTTTATCACTTTCTCTCCTCTCCTCCCACGTGTCGAGTTCGAGGAGACGACCTGGATGCGACGCGGCCACTCTAGATATAGCGATACCTGCCGTTGTCTTGGATCGGAGGCATCTCTCTGTCTCCATCCGACAGACTTCTTCTCAACCCTGTCAGCGTTCTTCCTCCTCCTCCTCCTCCTCTGGCAGACATCGTCTCGAACCTGTCAGATCCCTTCGCCTGTGCCGCAAACAGCGGTTCTCGCGCTCGATCCGCAGCAGTGTTTCTTCACAGCAAATTCTCGCCGACCAGAGGGTAGACAATATCACTTGGATCCGATTCTATTCTCTCTTTCTTCCGACCAAACTTTCTCTGTAGCCAAGATGGCACATCAGATCAGGGACTTCTGACAACCTCAGTTGGCCCAAGGGCCTCCACCCCTCACACAGAGAGAGCACGACCTGGATGGCAACGGTCGCCATGTCCTACAGAGGGTAACACATGTCGTTGGCAAGGGCGGACAGGTTTACGATGAAGACGAGGAGCTCTCCCTTCCAGAAAACGATAGGACTCGTGACATGCGGATTCACCGTGCAATTTTACTGGTCGCCTTTGACATACGCTACGCTGCCTAGGTGGAAGTGGAGGCCGCCTTCCATCTCCGCGGGACGCTGAGGGGGGACCCTGTCAAAGCCCAGCGCAAGGACGACTAGGCCATGGGGTTGACCGCCGACTATCTCTATACCAGCGAGGAGGACCGCGGCAAACTCATCCTCTTTATACAGTAGCCCAAGGAACAGCACCGGCGCGGCCGAGTTTCTCCATCACACGGTCTATGAGGGTTTGGAAGAAAGAGGTCTGCAACTAGCTAGCCAACCTAGTAACAAGGAGGATAAAATCTGAGGAGAGAGAGGAAGAAGGAACAAACGTCCTCTCTCTCTCCTCCCTTATATCGTACGCTCCTCCCTCCGTAAGGGATACCTATTGTCTTCCCCCTTTCTCCCTTTTCCTTCGTCTTTCGTACACACCCCTACATTTCCCCTTACACCTTTGTCTCTCTCTCTCTCTCTCTTCCTTACCTTCCCTTACGTACGGTGTCTCAGTTTAACTAAGATCCTATATCTGTTGCACCGTATATGAGTGAGCCGTCTCGTCTGATCGGGAGGCCCGCTATTTACCTGTATTTTAACCAGAAACAGAACGCGCTAACTAATGTCAGATTGAAATTGATAGGTTTGAGGTTAGGACTCTTGCTGTTCGCGACCTACTCCGAATACACACTCACTGGAAAACACCCACGACCTCTGGGGGGAGGCCCATGGAATGGACCAGCAATGGTGCTCGTCTGTGGTGACTTACAAGTCGCTGTCAAGTTGAACAGGGTTGCCACGCGGACACCAAACATACGGCGACGTCAATGTCAAGTGTGCAAACAGGTATAATACGATGGACGACGACCGACTACCGACATCGGTATCCAAGTTGCTACTGTGATGGGGGAGTCTACTACAGACTGGAACGTGATTGGTGGAATTTGCCTATACAATGTACAGGATGATACTCCTACCTCCTGATCAGCTAGATCTCGGACACTAGGTCCGAGAGTTCTTTTCTCAGAGGATCCTTTAAGAGGATTGGTTCTCAGTAAGAGAATAAAAAGAAAAAAAAATCAATCATGTAATTGGAATCTATCTGATCAGGATCTTCGATGCTGTTTTCATTGTTACTATACGATAGTCGTTACCCCCAACATTATGCCCACCGCCGTACGAGTTGATGGCTCTGGCCAAGAGCCTCGCCTCAGTTCACTACATGGACGAGTGGCAGTGGTTCCGAGACCGAGACGACCACCACTTCGACCAAGATATTCCCGACAAAGGCACCAAGGCCATCCTGCGGAGTCGAAACCCAAGTGTCGCCAAAAAGACAAGTTCCGCTCATACCCAGGGTCATCCAATGAGTCGTGAGATCATGCAGCAGCGACTCGGGTTCACCGTTTTCCCTCCTTCACTTGTTGCTCTGCCACGCCTCACCTCGAGCACAAACTCGTGAGTTCAAGGTGAGAGTGAAAAGGTTTATGCAACGTCAACCGGACATCGTTGTGTCACGAGAAAACAAAAGCTGTGTCCATGGAGCGGGACTGGTGGTTCACGAGGGGATAAAAGCCACTGATACTGCTTGAAGGTATGCCTGTCGAGTTTCAGTCTGGTCGAGTTCCATCTTTGGCATGGCTCGGCCAAGCTTCAAGACACAGACGCATCAAGACTGGTACCGAAGCCAAGGAGAAGCAGGCCAGACACACTTACGATCCATGCGTTTATGGTCGTTTCGCATATTGCCCGGCGTGGGCAGGCCCAACGACACCTTTTTCGCCAGATCCGAAGCATCTCGGGGAGGAAATTCTCAATTCAGTTGGTAACAGATGCATGCCCTGCCAGATGTTCACAAGAGGATTCCACAACGTTTCAACGTCAAGTTGAACATGTTTGTGAGACCAGTCTCAGGAATACTTTGTCGACATACAATATTGGATGCTGGATCAGAGTCGGACGTTCCCGAAAGTGATGGCATCATCTGGTGGGTGACTATCACTGGATATCTGTCCCTGGACGTCCCAATTCGTCCTCAGGTCAAGGACTTGATCCAGGTGGATTTCATTTGCGAAAATTGAAGGGTGCATGGTGATGTATCAACGGGAATCTGGCCCTCGACGTATAACTTTGTCCTCGTGTCAAGGATTCGACCCGGCCATGGATTACATGTTCGAAATCCCGTCGACGGTACCTGGTGGATGATGATCATTATCATTGAGAACCAAACCCTCGACATTCACACTAGGTTCTGGGTCGAGGGGTTCCAGCCTGCCGACGCAGTGGAGTGATAATAATCAACATCAAGAATGTACCTCTCAACGAGCAGATCGGTCCTCGAGTCAAGGATTGGGAGCACGACCAACTGCGTTTACGGAATTTGATGATCCGTGGGCGGTTATCGTCGTCGCTGGGGGAACATTCCCTCGATATACAAGATCGGGGAGCCCGAGTTAGCGCGAGGCATTGCTATTTCTCAAATTTGATGGTACATGGATGGTACATGTATCGGCAAGCCCACATCGAGAGGCCTACACACGGGGCCAGCGTCAGGAGGCCTGCATTTGACTCGAAAAAAAAATTTTGCCGACGTGCTGAATCATGCCATGGCCAGGGAGTGACGAGTCCTGGACCGGCATCTGGTGGAAGAGCCCTGCCCTTGTGGCAGCCAAGCAGCCAGCTGGCCATGATGCCGAATTGTCCGAGAGTACGTATCACAGTGTCCGCCACCCGCAAAAGAAAATGAGTCTCAGTTTAAGGCAGAGACTAAAAGCAGGGAAGAATGGCCCTCAGGGACCCAGGACGTGGAAGGCAAGTAAAGCAAAGGGCTCAAGTGAAGCAATAGGATTGACGGCAGACCTGACGAGATGAAACAGGTTAAAAATGCCATCACCCGCGTGGTCTGCTTTGGCCCAACGGGACGAACTAGGAATGAGGTAGATGCCGGAAGACTGTTGCCCGAGAAGTGAGTGAGTGAATCAATTGATGGGACGGATCAATCAATCAGAGTTGGATTAGGGGCCAGAGAGCAAAGCCGTGGGTCAGGCGCTGGTTCAACCGATGACGTGGCCAACGTAAAAGTCAGGCGCCCGGCGTAGGAAGGAAGTAACGGAGGCGCTCTAGGCAGCAGCGCCAAACACAGGCTCGACAAAGATACGACCGATGCATGCATGCCCAGGAAGCGAGTCCCTACAGCAGTGCCGAACCGGGTGACGGGCTGGACGAAAAATGATCCAGACCTGTCGAGAGGCGACTGTAACTCTCTCAAGAGAGAGAATACCCCACCCAACGACACCACACGGACAGCTGGACAAAAGGGTGCTGCAGGAGTGTTACAGGTGAGTCAACCTTGGCATGTGATGTGATTGGGAATCAAGTGACGTGGCGACGCTAGTGAGGGACTGCGCCGCCTCGCCGTGGGGGCGTCGGACACGGCGAGAGCTGAAGATGCTTCGTGTTGCGACTGGCTCCTTCCATCACTTGGCTTCCCCCCAGCATCTTTTCGTGTCTTCGACTTCCCATTCAAAAGCCTATTTACTCTCGTACCACTCGCGAAGAAGCCCCCCGATCTTAGCCTCTCATATGCTCGTTCCCCCTTGATGTGCTTCCCAGCGGGACGGTCCCTTCCTCTGACGAAATGGAGCACGACGACTTCGGCTGGCACTCGTTCGCAGAGGTCGAGACACAGGAGACGCTCGTCAGCCAGCCGGTTGATTTTGATTTCACCGAATGGCTCAACGAGTACGCAGTTCCTGCCTCGTCGCAACCTATCCGGGGGCACGACATCACGTTATCTCAGACTTTGGATTTCTCTGGCGAACCGGATCTGGTCTCGACAGGATGCGATTTTGTGTCGACATCGCGCGAGCCATGCACGGTCCTGCCGTCTGCCGTATGCGCCGCCTTTCCTCCCCAACAAGACTGGGAGTCCGGTCCCGAGCTGAGCGCCTACGGGTCGGGCCTGAGCTCACCCTGGGACGAATCAGGAGCCTCGTCTGTCGGACCAGAAGGCCTCGACGCATGGTGGACCGGGGGACAGCACGACGAGCTGGTGGCGACTATATCACCATTGAGGCTTCACAGACCTCTGCCTGTCGCATGCTCTCCATCGCCAACGCCGGCCGCCGAAAGTGTCATGCCGACAGCACCAGAGTCCGGGATCGCAGAGAGCGTCGCAAAATCAACGGCAGCACAAAGGTTCCCTTGCCCTGAACCCGGATGCGGATGCACATACGCGAGGAAGGAGTATCTCAAGAGGCACACGCAGTCGTGAGTTTTCAGATCGACCCTCATATCGTCAGTCGCCGCCGCCGCTAACAAGCTCAAAGATGTCACAGATCAGGCAGGAGAGGCTATAGATGTCGCTTGTGCAATAAAGATTGCGGTACCAGGGCCGATAATCTGTTGGCGCATGCAAAGAGACACGCGAAACCGCTGAAGACGAGGGGTCTCGACTACTATCCAGAGGCTGCCGCCTATGTGGAAGAACTGCTGGGACAGAGGGGGTGAAAAGACGACAAGGGCCGTGATCCATCACACAGGGCTAATAGCTATACCATACCATACCGTCCATGGTGATTCCCCGCCTATTGACGCCGTCTCTGGAGTAGACGTATGAGCGCAAAGTAATAGATAGCCTGGTGAGAAGTAATAGAACAGTTAGCGGGTTATCTTTGGGGACACACATACCGAGCCCAGTGTAGGAGCCTGTAAGACACTCGACAGACCGTGATACGCGCTGGCGTCCACCCAGGCAGTGACGTCGCTGTGTTCAGAAGCATCGCTCTCTTCAGTAGCGTCGCCGTCTTCAGGAGAGAGTTTTTGGGGGGGGGGGGGGGCCGGCGGCTGAGGCTGGGAGGCATGGGCGTGGTCTCCACACTGCGGATCTCTGTGGCTGTACCTGGGGGCCCACAAACGGGGGGCCTCACCCATTGCGGTCGGGCTCCGTCGGGTAGAAAGCATGCAAGGGCCGACGCTAGGCTCTTTGGGCTGGTTGCCTTAAACGCCCACCACCCTTTTCCCCCCTTGTCCACTCGCAGACGATGTTGTCAGGGGCACCAGACACAGCCCCTGCTCGAAGTGGGCCTCCACAGCCGATCGAGCCCGCGCCCATGATTCTCAGAGTTCCCTTTCTGCCAGCGAAGCTGACGCCTAGCCCGGTCCCTTAATGCTCCCCCCTCTCCTGTCCCCACACGCCCCATGCCTTCGGTCGACCAATTGTTTTTTTTTTGTCCACGCTGTGCCATCTCGACCGCATGCACCCAAGCCTGGAGGGGTCGTCCTGCGGTCAGCCGTACGAACGCGTGCGTGGACGACGCGAAAAGGACCAATCGCCGGCATAGGGGGGAGGTGGTTGCATCCGGACGAGATGGGGTATTGACATGTCGTTCTGTCTCCGCTCTGCGGACAATTCTGGGCTGTCAGACTTTGTTGCAAACCGACCCCCAAATGACCATTCGCTTCGAACCACCACCACCAACACCACCACCGTCAACATGGCCGGCATCGAAGCACACCCCTTTGAAAAGACAACGTGGGCTTTTTTTCCATCGTACTCCCTCTCGATGGTAAGTCAGTCAGTCAGTCAGTCCATGGCTGGCTGCAAGCCTCTCTATGCTGTGTGTGTGTGGCCAGCGCCGCCTTCACGGGTCGACCGGCCGATGAGAACGATCCGAGTTCATTCTCTCGGATGGTGGATGGTGGCGGCAAAATCGAACAATTCCACGGCTGAAAAAAACCTCCCCTCGAGCTTTTGCGAACAAATCCTTTAACAGAACGCTGAATTTCCACTTTCTTCAGGGTCCCACAGGCACGGCTCAGATTGTTTATTGATCCCTGTTGTGTTGAAGGATCCAAGAGAAAAGGGAAATCTCAGACCTAGTCCTAGTGTCCAAGGTCCAACCAATCAGGAGTCAGGAGTCAGGAGTGTCACTCACCTACCTGTACATTGTACACGTAAAATTCCACCAATCACGTTCTAGCCCGTAGACTCTCCCAGCCTGTAGACTCTCTCCCGTTACAATATGTGACTTCTGCCTTGCACGACTCGTGGCCGTCGTCGTTCTCCAGGATGCGAGCCATCACTGTCGTGTCGGGTTTAGCGCCCTTGTGACAGTGTTCGAGATGTACCACACCTCTTTATTGTGCTCGCTCATCTCCCACGAAGTGCAGGTGCGGTAACGGGTGGGTGCTGGGGAAGAAAGATGTGAGAGGTGAATCGAAGACGGCGTCGTCTCGCAGCTGTCGAAGCATGGTCAAAAGTCTAGTTTTGACTTGTAGCAGGCCGCAGCCGTCACAAGTGGTTTCCTTTCGCGCACCATTTGAACTTCGGCCAGTCTGGGTGTAGTGTGCGTTGTGCACCGCGCGCCCGCGATAAGCCTGCCGTGGGGCATATCACAGGGCATTGCGTCCGCATGAGCCTATGAAATCGGTCCACATGGTCGACTTTGGGGCGACCAGAGAAGATTGGCAAACCTTTCAGTGGTGCCAGCAAGCCTCTTTTCGGGGGGCGGTTGGGGTGAGGACTGAACGCCCGACTGGGCTGGAAGATTGCAGCCTTTGGCCAATCAGGCACTCTTGGTGGTGAGGGGGGTAGGCCACCAACACCGCCAAGCGTGTGATTTGACGTCAAAAGTTGCGGCCCAAGGAAATAGGGAGGTTGGGAAAAAGGACGCTAAAAAAAAAAACAACACGGGACAGCCATCCAGAAATTTGCGCAGTGCCACGAGACCGGGGCCGACGCGCATGACTGACTTGGCTGGCTGCCCTATTGCGCCCGACAAGGGGGTCGTGACGAAGTAGATTGCGTCCTGATTGGCGGGAGACAAAAGTGTCGGTGAGTCAATCACAGGGTCCACCACACCACACCCACACGGTTCAACCCCCCTGCATTTCTGCGCGGGCCTGTGCGAGTCTGGCCACCCAGTCACAGGGAAGCAACCGTGTCAGCAGGCATCCATTTGGTGCCACCCCAGTGGGTGACAGAATTCCGTCCCCACTATTATGGCATTCTGCTCGGATTTCCTGCCTCACTGGGTACGGAATTCTGTCACCCACTGGGTGGGTGGTTGTGGTCTGAGAGGGAGAGGCGGAGAAAAAAAAGCTAATGATAAATACCCGCCCGAGAAGTCGTCTTCCTCAAGACTGGAGGAAGATTTAGATCGGGTTCTCCCCCTCACGAGCATTCATTGTACCCACCACCAACATCCGTCCTGCTTTTCAAATCGTCACTCTTGTCAACGTGTTACTTACGAAACCATTCAACCTGGTGGACGAATTAATCATTCTAAGCACAAGAAAAGCAAAGATGCCGACGATTTTGCGCCTTCGAGACCTTTTGGCCATGTCCGAGGATGAGATTGCCCCGGCGGATGTTAGCTCTTCGTCGGATGTCGTCCCGGAAACACCGTCGTCCCTCTCCCTCGTCAAGGGCGATGAAGACTCGCCACCCGCGCAGCCTACCGAGCGCAACAGGCCGGTGAAACGGAGGAGGCCCAGAACACCCAGACACGTGCAGCGCACACCGCCAACTCCAAACTCCAACGGGAAACTCGAATGCACTTGGGACGAATGTGACGATGAGATCAAGGAGTTTCCGCGCCTGGGCGAATGGAAGTCAGTTATCTCCCCCCCACAAGAACGCAAGAACTGACCTGGGTACGCAAAGCAAACACATGGACAAGCATGAACGCCCGTACAAGTGTGCCTCGGACGGTTGCAGGAACCAAAAAGGCTTCACGTACGCCGGTGGACTTGTCCGTCACGAAAGGGAGGTCCACGGCAAAAACGTCGGGGCCGAACACCAAATCTGGTGTCCGCATAAAAGCTGCAAACGACACTTCCGCAAACCGTTTGCCCGCGACCAAACCCTCAGGGAACACCTGCGTCGGGTTCACAAATTCACGGATGTGGAAAAGCCAGGCCCCCCGTCGCGCCCCCGCAAGCTGGATGACCGTGCTGACCACGACGACGACGACGAGGTCGATGGCGAAGAAGAAGAACAAGTGGCGCAGACCAAGAGGCGCAAGACGGCGGCGGACGATGGCGAGGTGGAGAGGCTCCGGAAGCAGGTAAAACAGCTCCAAGGAGCCCTGGCGGCGTCCGAAAAGAACGTGGTCAGGCTCGAAGCAGTCGAGGCAGAATTCAAGGCTTTTGACGCCTTTAAGACGCTCTTTCTGGCGATGCTCAACAAGCCGCAGGCGGCCGAGGCCGATGGCACACGCTTGGAGGGCGAGCGAGGCGCTGCCGACAAGACCGCCCTCGACCCACCGTTGCCAGATTCTTCGGAAATCAGCAAGGAGTAGTTTCAGGGAGGGGTGGGTGGATTCTGCGTCCCCGATTAGCACCCCTGCGCAAGGCCCGTGGCGACGGACGGGGAGCTAGTGAAAAGACGCACCCCCCAGTGTCAAACTTGCCATGTTTGGTGCTCTGTAGGTTATACACTGCCACAACTGTTCCCTTGTACCCTGCCCGGTCCGTGCCAGACAACACTACGGCTTTGCCCTGCCAGTAATGTTCGATCGTGTGGGCCTCAAACGCTCCCTGTCGGTCAAAACTGCTGCTCTGTCCCACCAGTCATACACCGTCGTGTAGACTCGAGCTTCTCGTGGGTGGAAAACGCTTCCTGACACCCCGCTCCTCGCGCCCTGCTCTTCACACCGCTCTTTCACACAACCATGCTCAGAGTTTGGATTTCGGGAACCAATGGCTAATACTTTACCGCCTCCATAATTCTGAGCAAAGGTAATTGTGATGTGAAAGGTGAGAAGCCATCACGGCAGCTACCGCCAGCCTCTAGCCGCCAGCCGCTCATCGCTCGCAGCTCGCCAACCGAGTCTCAATGAAAGGTCTGACGAGGAGCAAGGGCTAGACTAGCTGAATGCAAAAGCTTGCTAGTGCCCGTCCATCCGTCTGTGTCTGCAGGTGGAGCAAGAAGCAGTGAAGAGAAAAGAGTAGCAAATAAAGGGGGTGGGGCAGGAGGGGCGGGCAAAAGCCAATGAAAAAATGGGGGCATGACGTATGGCGTTTTGTGGAGATTTGACTTAGTCACTTGATTCAAGGATAGCATTGGCATAAGGAGTAAGGAGGTGGCTGGAAATCTGACCTGTCACAAAATGCACTCGAGTGTAAAGCAGGGGGTTGCAGGGGTATGTGTGGTGGGTCGCAAAAAAAGGAGCGGTTGATGTGCTCGGGATGGGACCATCGTCTCCTTGCTTCTTGTCCATTTCTTTGTCTCGAATATTTTGTCGAGTTACAAAAATCCCAGAGGGGTAATTGTCTCCACTTTTGACAAAGCCAAGCAGGAATCACGTCTTGCTTCTTTCTTTGTCTCGAATATTTTGTCGAGTGACAAAAATCCCAAAGAGGCAACTGTCTCCACTTTTGACCGAAAGTCAAGTAGGAAATGATGTCTTGTTTCTTGTCCTTTTCTTTGTCTCGAATGTTTGTCGAGTTACAAAAATCTCAGAGAGGCAACCGTCTCCACTGAAGAAAAAGCATGTCTCGCTGGGGACCATGATGGCGGATTGGGATGCGTTTCGGTCGGGAGGAGAAGATGGCGGGTGGTTTTACTCCCAAGTGGGTCCTCCGTTGTTACTCGTGTCCGGCCTGAAAACCTTAAAAATTTACCACTTGGCAGACAGAAATGCACTCGACTGCAAGGGATGTCATCCCTCCTCGATGGTTGCCAAGAATGGCTGCCTAGAATGAATCCATGAGTGACGTCAGGACTACATCCACCACAACCACAACCAGGTAAAAAGGGGGGCAAGAACTACAGCACATGTGACACACTATGGTGCAATTGGAACGAAGAGGCACACACCCTCCCGGCCCCCGAGGAGGCCTCGCATGCTGGTGGGCGCCAAATCACCGGGAGGCTCCCACCAGGGCTTCGGTCTCGATCGGTCCACGGCTCACTAGCGTTGTGTCTCTCGGGGCTGGGAGGATCCAGTCAAATTAGGGGGGGGCCTTTTTAGAGGGTCGGACTCACTCTGTGCAGGTACGAACCACCCAATCGACGCAGTTGGTGCTGTTCGACTGGCCTGCCTGTCCCCACAAGAGACAGGAGCTGTGACTCATCCCTGCGGACTTTATTGGTTCTGTCGTATAACCTGTTTGACCACGGTACTCTCGTGTGACACGGCACTTTGGTTCTGCACGGCACTTTCATTCGACAGGGTGCTTTGGTTCGACACGAACGTTCCTTCATTGGTCCTGTCGTATAGCTGTTCGACAGGGTACTTTGGTTCTGCACGGCACTTT